CCCTCACCGCTCCCTCCCCCCCCGCCCCAACTCCCGGCCCGGGCGCGTCAGCGGGGCCCAACCGGGAGAGCGACCGCTTTCCCGCCCTCCCCTACAGCGGGCGCGAGGCAGTCCCCGCGCAGGCGCTGTGGTGGCGCGAGCGCCGGCTGCGGGCGGGCGGGCGCGCGTGCGCGCGCGGTGGCACCGGTCCGGCCGGGCCCAACTAGACCCGACACACACAGACACACCACCCCCCCCAACCCCGACCGGGGTCTGTCAGAGGCCGTTAACGGATGGGGGGGCGGTCGGTCACGGCGGTTTGGCCTCCGCTCGTGAAGGTTTTCCCCGCGGGCCGGTGCTCTAGCAGCTGGGGCGAAGTCGGTAGGAAGCCGCCTGCCGCCTCAGTGCTTCCTCTCCCCGCCTCGGCTGCGGTAGCCCGGGCCCCTTCTCGCAGGCCCGGCTGCGGCGGCAGAGCTCAGCGGCGCGTATGGGCGGCCGCGGGCTGGGGCCTGGCCCCTGTGTGCGTGGGAGGTGATAAAACGTGGCAGGGTGTGGGTTTGCTCGCTGCAGGAGGTAGTGAGCGTGCAAGGCTTGGAACGGCGCTCTCGCTGAGTCCCGTACATCGCAGAGGGGTTGGAGTCCTGCAGCATGCAGCCATTTGGGAGCTGTAAAAAGCTGTGTAAGACTGGACTGGCTACAAGCTGCAATTTGGGAGGTGGGGAACCTAGCCCGTGCATGGTGTGGAGTACGGTGTCACGTGCGAAGGCGGTTGTGGTCTTAAGCCTGCCCTAAGTGAGGTAAAGTTTATGCAAAATACTCTCAGACCACAAGAAGGGTCTGAGAGTCACAAGTGTGTCAGCTTTTTCCAGTTGCCTGGATAAAACATGCAGCTGGTTTTAATTGCGCCCTTCAGCTTGAAGCTCATGACCTCTGATGAGTCTACTGATAAGTATTCTGTGATATTGTCCGCACACTGTATCATCTTTTTAAATGCGAGTTGCAGGTAATTACAGTTGTCATTAAAATTTTCAAAATATGGCTACAGATAACTGATAGTGAATGTCTTTCTGGGTAATTCATAGTTACAGATTTGGTTGCTTCTACCCTGTTTTGACATGGCTAGGGAACTGGTCCAGGAATTTTCCCTCTCGGAATCTGGAGTAATTTTGCAGTACTTTAATATATCAGAATAGATTTGTGGTGATTGGGAATGTGCTCGAGTGTTTTTCACCATCCTCTTCCTGCCTGTGCTGTTTCGTAGTCTATCCTAGTAAACTGGTTGATGGTAATATGGGGTTGGAGACAGTTTTCAAGCTGCTTGATGGCTGATGAAACTGTTTTTAGCTTCTTTATGCTTGCATGCACCTGTATTCAGCATACTTGTCAACTTACTACCGTATTTGTTTGAGCTACCTCTACGTAATGCCTGACTACTAGGTTTTCAGCTGCAGCTGTATGAGATCCTGTCCCAGCACATGCCTTGTAGAGTGGCAGAGGTCCAAGAAGTTGATATTCAGGCATAAAAATTAGGTCACGTTTATAGACAGTGCTGTAATGAGGACTGAGCTTGGTCACAGTAGGGGTGCCAGGCAGTGCTGTGTAAAACAAAAGCTTTGAAGGTGGCCTGAAAGAGCGCTGAGGACAAAAGCCTGCACTTCCAGGCTGTGTTCCAGGCACCTGTGTATGTGGCAGAAAAGCAGGACAAGGTTTGCTTTCCAGGGGTGTAAGCAAGGCCTTGTACAAACATCCAAGCCCCATATTCTCCTTCCCAACTGTAGTTGCTATCTTTCTGTCCGAGCATGCAGGCTGCCAAACACAATTGCCTTTGACCTTAGTGATTGCTTTGGGCTGGTGTGTGCTATGTGGTATGTGTTTCTTCTCACTTCAGATGACAGCCTCCCGTTGCATGCTCAAGATGGTGACCTGAGCTTGAAATTAGCAGGGGCACTGAGAATTGCTGGGGAGTCGTGTCCCCTGACAAAGCCAAATCTGCTTTGTTGTGTGCTCACAGCATTGATCTTGTCTTAGTCAGCCCTTTTTCGTTCCCAGGGCTGGGTCCCATCTTTCCCACGCACATGCTGTGTGCTCAGCTCCCAGGCATGCGCAATTAAAAAGAAAGCATACCTTATCATAGAAAAGTTTTTACTGAGAGGAGCATCTTTAATGCTACTGCAAAGTAGATGTTGCATGTGAATCATGCAGAGAATTGATGTGCTGCATCAGTGAAAGTTTTAAAATAGCACTTAGCCAGGCATTTTCTTATCTGTACCCATTTTTATTAATCAGTTTACTAAAAACAAAATCAGAAGTCCCACGTGTGTTGCAGCAATATTAAGTACAATGCAATTTTACACTGTACCAAATGCTTTACAGTCCCAGAAGGCCTACAGCTCATTGAAAATAGCAATAATGGCAATGTAAACGTTGAGAGTGTCCGCGGGGGATGAGTAATAGAATTAGGATGTGGGAAGGACTGTGCAGTTGCAAAGCTGCTTTCTCTCCGCTCCTTGAGCAGCTGTCCACACCCAGCCCTGCTGGAAATTACAAGGTGTTGTTCTGGTGAATAAGTGCAATATGTATCTTGCTAGGTTCTGGTTACACACTTAAATGGGCAGTTGCTTCCTCATACAGACAAGGGCTCGCCTGAAGAAGTGCAAATTGCAGTTGCAAGTCTGGATTGGTGTGACGTGGCTCATCCTGCTGTTCATTTTGAACCTGGGTTGAGGTGAACACCGTTTCCCTCACTAGTACTGCAAGGTCTATTTTTTATATGCTGCCTCCCTAATAAGAGATTTAAATACAGCTCACCAATAACCCTGCATGCTCTTTGATGTGAGCAGTCACCTACCTGCCTGTTAGTAATAACCTCAGTGAACTGGAAAGGCTCCTTGTACTTTTCTTGATAAATAACGTGTGGAAAAATGCAGGAGTCTCCTGAAACAGGGAAGACTTTTCCAGGCTCCTATTCCAGCTTTGTGAGGTGAGGTTTTGTTGTTTCAGTGGCTTTATTCCCGCTTTGACTGGATGAAAGTTGGCCACTGATGATAGTTTTCTCATCATGTAGAGGGGATCAATCCAGTGTGAAGCTGTTGAGGCACATGAAAGGTGGCAGGTGCCTCCTGATGAGAATAATTTAAGATCAATTTTATTTTTTTTCTTAATGGGGGAAGAAAGCTATGAAAGAGGAAAATGCTTGGAAAGCTAGCAGAGGGATCTTTGGCATGAGCTAGGATAAAGCAGAGTGGAGAGAGCGAGGCCCCTGGCAGCCAAGCTCTACCCCTGAGCAGGCTGTGCCCTTGAGCCTTGGGGGTCCTGGGAGGCCCCTGCCATGCACGTGGCTCTGCTGTGGGGTGCAAGGTGTGACACCAGCTCTTGGGACAGCAAGGACTTACCTGACATGAAGGATGGCCTACTGTTAGGAATGTCAGTAATGTGTATCTGGAGGTGCAGGGGCAGCAGATGGAGAAGATCTGTAGGCAGAAGCAGTTGGGGCAGCATATGCTCTGTCAGAGCTGCTCCCTGCCCCGGCCCCAGGAGCGGCTTCCTAGTGAGTAGAGAGTTGTGCCAGCTCCCTTCCTACTGGTAGGGGTGAACTGGCCCAGCAGAGTGGCTAGTTGTGGTGGGACACCCTCTGACTGCCATATTCAGGCTGTGCAGGAGCAGATGCCTTGGATGATTGAGGACCAAATGCATTGGTACTCTTCAAAAGGAAAAGGCCTGT